CTTGGTTGTGAAGGAGGTGGGTTTGGTGTTGAAAAGTGGTGATGATGGTGATGTTTATGGTGGCAGTAATGGAGTTTGGTGGCAGTGAAGTTAGCTATTCGGGTGGTAATGTTGGTGAAGTTGATGACGATAATGAAAAAATGGCCACTGTCAAGTTCTCTAAGAAACTTATTTATGCTTTGAATAGTTTTTCTGACCGAATTCTAAAAACAATTTAAAATGTATCAAGTTCCATGGAAATAATTCCTACATTCAGAGAAGGATTAGGTATGGAGGTGGGTTTATGTTGACCGTGGCAATGACATACTTTCTATCTAACAAAAATGTCGGTGGGTTTTGATAATGGATTTGTGGTGATGTTGGAGGTTGGTCTAAATGGTGTTGGAGGGTATGGGTTTAGAGGTGGTTTAGTGTTAGTATGAAGATGGCAGGTGGAAGGTGTTTGGGAGAGAGGGTATTTGATGGCATTTGATCTCATCTCTTCATTAACTTCACCAACATCACCACCTAAACCACCAACTTCATTGCCATCGAACTCTATTACTGCCACCATGAGCATCACCATTACCATCACCACCACCTTTCAACACCAAACCCACATTCTTCATAACCAAATTCCATTACCACTACCATTAAGTGCTCCACGACCACTATCATTGCGAGCTCTACCACCATCGCCGAACCGCCGCCACCACCATCACTAGCTCCGTTACCACCTAGAACCATGCTTCGCATCATGTTATAAGTGAAAAAGAAAAGAAAAGAATAAGAAAGATGGAGGAGACAGAAACAAAAGATGAATGTTTCAGAATCTTCAAAGTTAGTTTTCGAATAACTTTTGGGATACCGAAACCGCCCATTACACGAAGAAGTAAGAAAGCGATGTAGTATAGGGCAAACTAGGCAGTGAGGTGAGGAGAATGGCGAAAGAATGAGGTAGAACCCTTAAGAATTGATAAAGATATAAAGTTCGAAAGATGGCTCAAAGAAAATCCAGAAACAAGAAGAAAAGTCTTTTATTTTATCAACTTTTGGAGCTCTAACGACATGCAAAAAGAGAAAGAACGAGACATGTGAGAGGTGATACGAAAGCTGTAGCGACCCCGGTCTTTTCCCGTTTGATTATTGTATCCGGACTTAGGTTCCGTAGATTCTGTCATTGTATAATTGTTGTTGTTATTGTCCCTTTTTTTCTCATTTGGAATTATAGGATGTGTTTGGGCAGGTTTGTTTCAGGTTGGTAGGGTTTAGAAACCAAGTGTTGCTGTCCAGAATTTTGGATCTTCGCTCGAGCGAGGAGTTTGTCGCTCGAGCGAGATGTTATTTTAGTTTTTATTAGTACATGTAAACATCCAAATCTAGGGCTTTTCTTGTATTGAGTTAGAACTCATCTTTTTGTATCCAAGTGTTGGCTTGGAAAGATGTAAGCCTGTAGGGCATTTTATTCGATGTTACATGTAATGCTTTTATTTAGTAATACTCTGATGAATGAATGAATGAATTGTTTTCTTTAAATAGTGCATGTCAATGACATATATATAATGGGTTTTTTTTTAGGGCGTTACAAAAACTAGGCCATGAGTGAATCCAACGATGTAAAAATGAGGTGAAACAGAGTTATAACAAAGGAGATAGAAGGACTTAAAGTAGTGGTTGGTGGTGGTGGCGACTTGGTGGTAGAAGAGGGTGGGTCTACATCTTTCTTTTGAAATTTGGGGCCAAAATTTTATTTTACTTTTTTTACCTTTTTCCATTTCAAATGTGACGGCAAGGCCAAAATTGATACAGTTTCAAAAACTTTGGGGATAAAATTAAAATTATTCAAAGTCTGGGGGTGAAATTGAAAATCGAGGTAAAACGTAAGGGTAAAAATGAAATTTTCTCTAATTAACTGTATAAAGGTCTCTTTTGTCATTTTACAAATAGTTACCCAATAAATAGAGCCAAGTGATTGGTTTTTTTGGAAAATGCTGCATATAATTTTATTTCTTACCTCATTTTTTCATTCCAAGGTGTAAGTGAATGGCTCCTATATATATTTTTAAATGTGGACCCATTGCTTTTTGTCTAAGTAGAGGTCATCAAATGGCCTGCAAACAAAAAAATTGATATTACCTAACCTAGCCCACCTGACCCATGAATCGTTCCAACCAGCTTGAGTGTCCAATTCGTCTCGACCCATAAAAGATTATTTAGGGCTTTGGACAAAGATTGTAATCCGAGTCCGTCCATGAACCCGACCCATAAGTGCCAATATGGGTAAGCCCAACTCGACTATTCCATTAGTCCGACTCAAACTATCCTGGCCAATATATTTATTTTTTTATATGTATCCAAAAAAATACATATATATGTGTATAATATTTAATGTGCACTTGTGGGTTGATATTTGTAATTTTATTTTGATGTATTAGTTTAGGGGTGGTGATTAAGAGCTCTACTAATAGAGCTCTAATAAGAGCACTAGTGACATGACAACCTAAAACAAAAAAAACAGAAAAATAAAACAAAGGCAAAAATATCAAATCATACGGTGGGGTCCACAGGTTAGAGCTCTTCTAGAGCTCACAATTTAGAGGTCTCAAGCATTTTTCTTAGTTTAAACTTGTGGGGGTTTTCAGAGAGATAACACATGATTGAACTAGATGTAGGAAAGACCAATCTAATTGTGTTTTCTAGCCCTGTGTGATGCTAGCTTTTTCGCTTTTTTTTTTTCATTTGTAAGTATTATAAATAAAATTACATTATGTTATTTGATTATATTTTGATTATATGAGATATAAAAAGATAAAAACAAAAATACTTGAATTATGTTGGAAAGCAAAAAAGAAAAATAACTAATGAAAATATTAAAAATATGTGCATAAAAAATGGGTAGTACTTAACAATATAAGTTGAATGAAAATTATACAACTTGATTCAGTATGATTTTGACCCGTAAAATTTGATCATATGAATGAGAAATCATTTTAATTTTTTTAAATAAGCTTGGCTAATACTAACTTGTTAACTCAATTATAATAATTACGGACTGAAGTATATCCGGTTTGTCCCATTAATGACCCCTATATCTAAGAGTGAGAAAAAAAGTAAAAAAATAAAATAAAATGATATATAACATTGCTCTTAAAAAGAGCAGTGCTAGCTATGGGAAACGGTTTTAATTACCATATTTTCTAACCGGCTGAATTGATTTGACAACATGGCATCTGTGTTAACATTATTAGATTAATTAATTTTTTATATATTTTATTAATCATATATATTAAAAAATTTATAAAATTAACAATTTAAATTATTAAGTTAAGACTCATAATTGAGCCCACAAAACCCTTAAATTCTCTGAATTCAAGAAGAAAAATACTTTGAAACACTAATTTTTAAATTTTAAAGCCAACTCTAATGAGTTGATAGTGGGTCCTATCTACTATAATGTGATGTTTTGGTCTTAATTTTTTTTTCTCCTTACCATATCATTAATGCTTCATTAAAATATCAAAATTAGTGCTCTAAATCATTGCTGATTCAAAAAATCCAAACCTTGAAACTAAGTGCTGTTTTGGGAAGAGCACAAAAACGCAACGTTATTGTTGATGTGAAAAAATAGCTGACCCAGCCGAAAACGCAATTGTTGCATTTGGGATGTGATAAAAACGCTGTCCTATGAAATTACATAAATACCCTCCATGTTAACAAATTACTTAAAATTCCAAAGTTTGGCAAGGAAATTTTGATCATTTTATTTTGATTTGATGCTATAAACAAATATTAACCCAAAAAGTCAAAAATCAACTTTTTACCAACTTTCTAAATCACTTTCTAAAAAAGTTAAAAAACTTGATAAAAAGTCAAAAGTTAACTTTTTACCAACTTCCCAAAACACTCCTAAATTAATCGTTTTACAAACCTAAATAAAGGCAATTATTATAAATAAAGGCAATTTACTCATGATGTCGTACGAAGTTCTTTTTTAAATAAAAAAGGGAGTTATTTATTTTTATTCTATATTTTTGAAACAAATATCCAAACTGATAAACCACATTGAATTAAAATGAACCGACCTTATCAGTCCAATTCGGTTTATCTGTATTGGTCGGTCTATTTAATATAATAAATGGGATATATTACTGTTAACACCATAAATCTGCAATTTTTATTATTATTTATTATTTATATAATTGCAGGACACGTGGCATCCTCTTATTCATTTGGAAGTTAAAAGAAGTTATAGAGATAATTTGTGTTGTGAATTGTGTATTGTTCAAATTTGACACACAAGTGTAAAATTATGTATTCGAATTGTGTTGTTTTGAACTCTGTGATCTCAACGCTGATCATTTTGTACAATCTTCCATTTGTATTGTCAAAATTGTCAATTGTGTAAATTGTTTAGTAACCTGTTCAAATTTTATACACTATTTAAAATTATTTATTCGTGTTGTACTGTATTGAACTATGTGGCTCAAGAAACTGAGGCCTAGAGCAACAATTTAGTTTTTTAAATAAATAAATAAATTGTGTGAATAAATTATGCCAAAATCCTTAAATTATTAAGAAGCAGGTTAAAAGTCAGCTTTTTAGTTTTTTTTTTTTTGATTTTTTTTGGTTTTTTTCACTAAAAAATAAATTGATTATAAAACTAAAAAAAAAAAATCCAAATAAAATATTACATCAAACTTCATAATCATTTTATTTTTTCTCTCACAAACATCACATCCAACCACAGAAAAAATCCAACTATCTTTCCAAATATAAAAAAAAAAATTCTCTAATAATATCCTATAACTAAAAAAAATTTACAAAAAAACCTACTTCTCAAACATCTACTGAATTGAACCAGACTGATTTCACCCTATATAGCGCTACAACTTTTTTTTTTTTTGATAACGCACATATCCCAATCCTCTAGTTTTTTGGAAAGCCAGGACTAATCTTGCGGAATAAGTAGCCGGAGCGCTACAACTCTCCTTGTCATTCATGCCAACTAATTTGATTTGGACTCAGTGAGTTGCACCAAACTCGTTTGACTCATCTACGTGCTACGTGCACAACTTGCTTCGCGCCAACGATTTAAACAATTTCAATTCATTGGATCTCTCTCTCTCTCTCTCTCTCTCTCTCAGTTCGAACGTTCGGCTGCTCAAATTCAGCTTCTGATCGCAAAATCTCAACCTTAACAAATACGAATTCCACAATTGATCAACAATGTCGACAGTCAAATCAAGCGCAAAGAAACGAGTCTCCGAGTCCGAAGCTTCAAAATTAGAGAAACTGAAGCGAGTCGTCGCGGACGACTTCGATGCAGATCTCTCCAAGTCCGTCTTCAATTCTCTTCTGAGATCAATTCAATTCGTGTTTTCTTCAATATTTAGCTGTAATTTTTTGTGATTCTTTTTACAAATTTTCGTTGAAATTTCAGTGATATCAATGGCATCATGTCCGCATTGCAACAGATCAGAGAGAAAGCGCATAAGGACGGCCAGAAGAAGAACGAAGAGACCATTTCAAGGTGAATTTCACTAATTTTTACTCAGATTTGAGACAATTTTAATATATAGTGTGTGTGTAAATGAATGTATGTGCATATGTATTGGTTGATGCTTCAAATACTAAAAAAAATCTATTTACTGTTTGAAGTCCAGTAGTTGTTACATCCAATTATCTGAAAATTGAGTTTTTTTATTATTATTTTACTTTTTTAGTTTAGTATTTTTTTTTTAATATTTTAAGCAATTTTTTTTTTAGTTTTTAGATGCAACTAACCTAAATATACCTAAAAAGTTATTAAAAAAAAAATCAATAAACACATAAGAATATGAAAATGTAATGTCTTTTTTTTTCATATTTTTTATATTTAGTGAATTTTTTGAAAGATATATGTATGCGACAGATTGCATCTCCTAAATGATATATGCGTCAGTGATCGTATCCATATATACATGTACACAATACACGAATTGATATGCATGTATGAATAAGCGAACACAGTAGAGGATGTCATTACTGATGAATCTGATACACACAAATACATGGATCTTGTTTCGAGAATTTGCAGATCAATATCTTAAATGACAATTTGCAAATTAATTTTGTAGTTTCATTTGTGATTTGTCATGTCAAAGATGTTTTTGCATTCTTTCTCAGATTCGTAAAATCTCAGTATATTCAAATTGCTAAGTTTGTTTGTTGCATCAATGATATGCTTGGTTTGTTGCTTCAGCAGCCCTAAATGCAAATTAATTTGATAGCTTCATTTGTGATTTGTCAAAGATGATTTTTGCATTATATCTGAGATTCTTCAATTGCTATTCAAATTGGTTGATTAGTTTGGTGAAATGCTCCATCCCCCCATTTCATCACCCCCAATTGCACCTCTAATGAGGTGGCAAACAATATCAACCAATCAACTTTCTTCAAACTCTTCTCTCTCCTTTCAAAATTGTTTGCCACCTTATTAGAGTTATAATTGGGGGTGCTGAAATAGGGGGATGTAGCAAAACTAGATTTGTTTGTTGCATCTATCAGTTAGGCTTTGTGATACGAATTACATCTGAAAAGGCTTTCTTTTACCACGTCTACTGCAGTTATGACTAAAAATTACTTTATTGTGCTTGCTTACAGTGTTTCTTCAGAGATCAAATTTAAGCTTGATGAATTGAAGGTCAAATTTGAGAAAGAAAGGTGAGGATAAATCCCAAGATTACACATGTTTGAAACTGATTTTAAAGTATACTTTGTGGGTTTTGTTGCCAAGATTACACACATGTTCATGTTGTCAATTGTCAGGCAAAGTCTTGCCAAGGCACTTTCAAAGAGCTCAAAGGAGGTTTGATCAGGCAAAGGGAGTTTTAATTGGTACTTTAATGAGATTGATCTTTTGGGTTAAATATATGTCTGTATCTGCAGTGTGAAAACTTACTGAAGAATGAGACAGCCAAGTACCAAGCAGTTCATGAGAAATTTTGCAAGGAGAAAGCTGCACATCTGCTGGCCTTAAAAGGTACCTTAGATTACCCAGGGTTTGGTTATAGTGTATCATTCAACTAATAGCATTCTCTACATGCTCTACTTTTAAATCTTTTGAGATGATTTTTACATGATATTCCAAGATTGTAATAAGATATTCAAGTGGAAAATTGAGTAGGAGATTCAGTCAACACTAGTCAACATTAAAACTCCAGTTGATAACATACTACATTTGAAGCACTTTATCTGATTTATAGGTCAATAGTCAATACCATAATTTAAAAATTCTTTCAAAAAGTAGTCTCCCATATTCCCAAAGGATCAGATTTTGCTTGGTTGTGGATCAGTTTGTGAATATTTCACATATTCGAGCTGTTCCCCATTACTTTTTTTCTTTTTCTTTTTTTGTTTGTTTGTTTGTTTTTTTTTTTTTTTCTTTTGCATGACATGGGATGTTAACAAGTTAGTAGTTAGATTATAACATCAAACTGATGTCTCACTCAAACCTAAGACCTCACACTGGCACCTAGGTGCCCTTTCAAGGCCACTTGTGCTACTGCCTGGTCCCCACTACAATTATATATATAGATAGTAGATTTCATCAATCATGTCTGAACTTGGTAGCCCTAAAATAAGGTCACCTGATCATACTTTTACATAATCACTTTGTAAAATTGTCCACATGAAAAGGATCAGATTGTGAGTAGTCATTACCATAATTTAAATTATCTTCAAAAAGTAGTTTGCCATATCCTGAAAAGGATCAAATTTTGCTTGCTAGTGGATCAGCTTGTGAGTATTTCACATATTTGAGCTGTTTTCATCAACCATTTCTGGACTTAGAGGCTCTAAAACAAGGTCACCGATCATACTTTTACAGAATCATTTCATAAAATTATTCAAATGAAATTGCAAGTGCCAAAGTTTCTTTTGATATGGAAGCATTATTCTTTTAATCATGGCATGGTTCTCAAATAGAAACAAACGGAATGGAAATATTTTGAATGAGCCTTCTGTCATTTCCCTCCTCATTTGTTTCAGCAAACAAATTGTGAACATTTGTGGGGTTCTCTATGTCCTTGTAGAAACACATGCTTTTGCTTTTAAAACTTTGAGACAGAGAAGTTGGTGTGATATATTATCAATGCAGAACATGACCTTCTAAGCGTGAGAGCATTTTGCTCCCCCCTCTAATTTAAATTTGATAGCAATTTCGCCTAAGTGAAATTCTTTGATAGGTTTAATGGAGTTACACGCTTTGACTTTCGCTCATAAATGACCGCTTTAAGTTGTATCTTGTGTTTTATTGCCTGCCATTTGTGTTTGATAGATACTATCTCCAAACATGAAGAAGAGAAAGAAAGGCTTTTCATGCGATATGAACAACAGAGTAAGTAACAAGATTTTCTTCATCCCTTCGATTGAAACACAATTTCACCACTACCACTGTTAATTGATTTGATTTCAGGGAAGAAAGAGAAGAGTATGCTCTCCGAACATGAGAAAGCCTGTGCAAATAAAATTGCTGAATTGGATGAGTCCTTGACTAAGAAGAAGCAGGTGAGCTAAATTTACACTTCTTACACCACACATTTATAACTATAAACTAACAAACATCTTCTGGAAAATAGGACGACAAAACATTTAGTGTTTTGAGAAAGACTTTGGGTTCGTTCCTTGGAAACGCCTCACATGAGGATTTCCCACCCGATGATTGAAGGTGTTATTCTAGAAGACTAATCTTTTCGCTGTGCAGTTGCTCTGAAAGACTGGTGCCATAAACATACATCTGTAATCTGCAATCGACTCTTTCATCACTTAGCTAATGATTTTCTTGTCCTGAGGAACAGAACTTGAACTCTTGTGCTATGTGGATGGTTGTACAGCTTGCAGTCTGTTTAAATCTCTTCTTATTTTAACACTTCATGATCAAGAATATAGTTTCCATTGAAGGTGGGACTAAATTTGTGGCTTTTGTCGAGTAAATATGTTAATTTCTATTGCAATGACTGGTGGTTACCCGCAAAAAAGTAATTGTATTTTAAATTTTGTTTTGGAACAAAGCTATATTGAGTGTAATGGTAACATTAGGGATGATAAATGAATATAACAGCTTGAGCTCGGCTTGTGTTTGACTCCTTAAAAGTTCGTTTGAGCTTCGTTCGTTAATAAACAAGTCAATCTTGGACACATTTTAGAGCTCGTTAAAGTTTTAAATCAAAGTTGAACAATCAATTGCTCATTCAGATAGATTCGATAATCGTAAAATTATAGAAAAATACTAAGCTGCAAGCTTGTTTGAGATCATCTTAAAAATTTAATGAAGCAAACTTTAACATATTTTGAAACTTGTCACAGTTTTCAAATCAAGCTTGAACAGTTAACTGCTCGACTCGTTTATCAATTTCGTCTCTATTCGTAACCTCCCAACCCAAAACCCTAAACCTGAGCTACCTCCCACCACCCTTAGCTGTGGTCACCCTTTTCGCCCATCCCCTTCCCCAACACTGATTGTCGCCCTTTAACCTCCCCTGTCCCTCCCTATCTTCCCCTAGCCCCTTGTTAGAGTATTTTTAATAAAAACAAAATGTTAATAATTTAAGGACAAAAATCTGCTTTACCGCCTATGGTTTAGGCCAATTGCACTTTATCACCCTATCATTTAGAAATAGCCACTTACCTTTTTTGTGGTTTGTAATTAAAGTGCAACTGTTACCTTTTCTGTCTGACTTCACGGAATTTGAGGAGCACGTGCGGTTAGAACAAGTCTCTGCATGGAATGAGTGTTTCCCTCCAAAACTAGTCATGCAAAAAGACATAAGTGTTCTTGTACATGCAAAAAGACATGATATGATTATTATTGTTAACTTTTGAGTAAGGGAGATTTATTTGAAAATTCTTTTTCAAGTGTTTATATCTCAATTAGTCTATAAGAGATTGTTGTATTCCAATAAGTCCTATTATTTGAACATTTGATCTACCAAATACTAATTCTTATATTTAAAGTATTTTATAAACATTTCTACCCTTACAAATAGTTTTTGAACGGTTAGCAATTCGGTGATGTAAACATTCATATTTTACAATGTGAATATCTACATTCACGTGTGAATGTTCACATTGACAATGTGAACATTCACATTACGGAACATTCACATTGTAAATGTGTATATTATTAGGGGTATTTTGGTAATTATGTCACTCATATGACTTATTGGAATATAAGAAAATAATGTGGACTAAACGGAACATAAGTAGGTGAAAAGAGATTTATAAAAAACTGCTCCTTTGAGTAATCTAGTTAATTGCAAATTTATTTATTTATTTAAAGATGAGCTACTATAATTTATTTATTTGTTTATTATTTTATGTTAATTTAAATTTTAATGATCATATATACATGCAGTATGATTGTTATTGTTAACTTTTGAATAACTTATTCAATTGTAATTATTATTTTTTTTAAAGGTGAGCTACTGTAATTTATTTATTTATTTGAAATTTTAGAGATCATATACTTATATAGTATGATTATTATTGTTAACTTTTGAGTAATTTATTCGATTGCGAATTTATTTATTTATTATTTTTGAAAGGTGAGCTACTATAATTTATTTTTATTTTATTTTATTTTAAATTTTAGTGATCATATATTTATTTAATATGATATTATTGTTAACTTTTGAGTAATTTAAGGAATATTTACCAATAAATCCTATATCACAAATTGTTATACCAATCAGTCCCAACTTTATACTTTTGTTCTGATAAGTCCTACTCGCGGGGAGATTTGTTCCCTTCTGATCCTTTTTTCCATTTTTGGCTTTACTGAGTGGACAATTGTACCCTTTTTTGATTGGAAATGTGTTTTGTTCACATTTGATAGTTTGAATGGAATGTTCACATATGTGTCAGCCATCACGGGTAGGGTTTTGTGTCGTCTGAGTTGGGGTGTCTGTGACGACTGTGTGGCAGACTGATAGAGATCTCATTTCCGTCATCGGAACGTCGTTGTTACGAAGGTAAGTTCTATTTTGTGTCCAGATATTGTTAAGTTACATATTTATGTCACATTACACTTCGTTAATCTTATTGTTTTGCATCGTTGGGGTTTTGTATGTATTAGTGTGGGGTGGGTCTGAACAATGTCACAAAATGGGTTCTTACGTATTGCATTGGTGGGGTTGTTTTGTGTGCTATTATGGGTGGTATGGTCTCCATGAGGAGTGTGGTTAGTTTTCTGGAAGGCGTGGGTTGTTAGGGAGGGGCCAATGGGATATGCCAATGATAGAGGGGGTATGTTTGATGTTTTGGATTCAACAACATTGTCTGTGGTGTATGTCATTTTATGTTGTTTTCAGTTTTTGTGGTCCTGATGAAGCACGTCTTGATCTTGTCAGGGTGATGGACATGCAAATTATGTTAATTTGTTGTTACAAAAATATGAATGCCGTAATTAATTTCCAAGTTCCGTTTTGATTTCACGATATTGTCAATCATGTGTGCGGGAAGTTTGTTGGGTTAACACCTTCCTATGTGTGTTTGTTCTTCAAGATGCTAGGTTACAATAATTTCGCTTTGCAGAATGATGTCGATGTGGAAAATATGGTATCTCTTGCACAGTCTTTCCGTTTGCAATGTGTCGATGTCATCATTCAGTTACACGATTCACCCGATGATGATAATCCTGACAGCCTAATTCACAGTGCACAAACCGTGCCCTGTGACATGGCACAATTGTTTGGCGAATTGGCAACGGATGACGAACATGATTTATTGGCAAAATACTGCCATCATGTTGAAAAAGTGTTCTTGTCCGCTTTATGGGCTAACGACTTTCGACATATTGGTCAAAGTTTTGAAAGTAGAGCATCTGAATTTTGTAATGTTCTTCACAAGTATGCGGTTGAGTATGGCTTTCGCTTCAAATATGTGAAGAATGATTCTGTTCGAATCACCACTGTATGCATGATGAGAGAATCGAAAGGATAAATGTGGTCAGTACATGCACGTATCTTGAATGCCAACGGTTTTTTTTTACCTTCAGAAGTGGAATAGCAAGCACATTTGTGGTGTTGCTATGCAGACTTCCAAAAACCTTAGGGTTGGTTCCGACCTAGTTTCTGATGTTATTTCTAAACGGGTACGTGACAAACCTCTCACACAGCCTACAGATGTTGTGTATGACTTGAAAAAAGATTACGGATTGGAAGTTAGTTATCGGGTTGCATGCGGTGGTAGAGTATTGTAGTCATGGAAAACAACCCAGGAGTTATATCAACATTGATTATGATGAACAAAACAACTATTTCATACGTTATTTCATTTCATTCAAACCACGTATTGACGGGTCCAACCATTGCTGCCCATTGCTTTTTTTGGGCAGAACTTTCCTTAAAGGGAAATTCAAGGGGAACTTGCTCGCTGCTACGGCAAGGGATAGCAACCAAGGTATTATTATTCCTTGTTGTTCACACATAACATTTATGTAATGAAACAGTAATTATATTGTTGCAAGTAATGACACGTTTATACTGACATTGGCTTCATGATCATACCATTTTTTCATAAATATTTTTCAAACACAACGATTGTTTACTCGATTAACAACAACAAATTGCAGGTTTATTCCCTTTAGCCATTGCAATTGTTGATTCAAAAAACACCACAAACTGGGCTTGGTTTTTGGGACATCTTGCAAATGTGGTAAACAGACAGAGGACACTTACATTTGTCTCGAACTGACATGCAGGCTTACTTGAATCAATACCCATCATATTTTCCACAGCCCATCATGCGTTCTGCTTACAACATTTGCAACGCAACTTGCAAGATAAGTTGCGCTACGGTAATAGTTCATATCGAGCTAGGATGTTAACTAAATTTTGTGCTTGTGCTTGTGTTTATGCACCGACTGTGGCTGCATTCAACCACAGTCTAGAAGAGTTCACAAAATGTGGATGTAAGGTTGTCCCGGTTTTCTTGAAAGATTTACCCCCTTAATACTGGGCAAACGCTTATTTCCGGTACATATATTTTCACTTTTTTTTTCCATACCCATTGTCTTTATGTTCTGTCTTACTTTCCGTGGCATGCGCGTATGTGTTGCCTATTTGTATTCTAATTTATTTTCTACTTATTTCACATCAGTAGTTCACGATATGGCGAGATAAGTTCGAACGCTGTTGAATCGTTCAACTCGTGGATACGAGAAGCATGCCACCTACCAATAACTCAAATGATTGATAGTATTCGGGCAAAGATTATGCGCTAGATGTCCAAACGTCGACATAAAGCACAAGCATGGACTGGTGCTGTTTGTCCTAAGATGGAAGCTCGGTTCGTCAAAGCGTATAATAAAGGTAGATCGTGGCTTGTAAGCCAATCCAACGACAAGGTGTACGAGGTTTACTCCTTCCCATCCGTCATGGTCGATGTTGGCAGGCGTACATGTTCTTGTTTTCAGTGGCAAATCAATGGACTCTTATGCACTCACGCAGTTGTCGCAATACGAAACAGTGGCTTCGACTTATACGGATTAGTTGCTTCGTACAACCATGTGGTAGAGTACTGGAATTCATACGCACACAACATAACCCCATTCCAACTGTCTCTAAACCACCATTTACCGCTGCAGATTTTGTCATACAACCACCGGCTGTGAAACGTCCACCGGGAAGGCCCAAGAAGAAACAGATGCTTTCTAAAGGGGAACAAGTGCAACAAATTCGTTGCGGTCGTTGTCAATGCATGGGTAACCACAATAAGAAGACATGCAAGGAACCAATTTAGATTCCAGCCTACAGTAGTGGTTTTATAGTTTTAAATGCAATTATTCCACTTTTAATATTTAAATAAGTGGCAAACACATTCCATTAATAAGTTCAGCTTCCAAGCCACATTTGTCTTATGACATATTTGACCATTTTAACATATGTGTTACGTTTCAACTTTCATCATTTATTATAGCCACTCCAGCATACTTGAATGTATATGTAGACGTCCCCGAACGTCCCGGGAGGATGAGTCCTGTTCCGTTCGTATTGGGCTCACTACAGTTCAGGACTCTCAAATTGTCACGGTTCTCAATCTGAACCAAAGAGTCCAAATCTGGCAAATCGTTTTGAGAAAACAAATTTTGAAAG